TCACAACCACCACCACCAACAACCACCACAACCACCTCCCTCTCACCATCACCACCCCCACCACCCACTATCCTGTAGGTACTGACCATGTTGTTGTCCACGTCCACCTTGACCATCTCCAGTTTGGCGGGAGCCTTGCTGTTGCTGTTGTTCTCCTTGCCCTTCTTCAGCCCCAGCGACGACTGGCTCGGGTTCTTGCTCATGCCAAGGGAGCTCATGCTGGACTGGGAAAGCGTCTTCATCAGGCCCTTCTCTTGTTGATGTCTGAACCACACCCAGGTCAGGTCGAGGTCAGGTCAAGGTCAGGCCAGGGTCACACGAGGTCAGAGGATGAGGAAAGTGGTATAGAGAGAGAGAGGGGAAAAAGAAAGAAGAGAAAAAAATGCAAGGTAAATGACAAGTTTAGTTTCATATGTGTATAACCGATACATTTTAAGAGTTATGCTTAAACCAAGATGAATAAACACTACTGTAAGTTTTCATCATAGAATATTTTCACATGAGCATGGACACATGACAGGAAGATGGGATATAGGGATGATGCGATAAACCAATAAAAGGGAAAAAAAGACAGGAAAAAAGACTTAAAACGAAGAAACATGGAATTGGGTATATTAGTTAATATTTTGGTGACAGAAAAAGTCAACCTTGCTTGGTCTGGTGAGTGATAAAGCTATCAAGTGTTCAGTGTTCTATAGCTCAGTGTATGACTTGGACTTCAGACAAATTCATGAATACAAAGGGTTTCAGAGTGTTGTGTATGGGTAGGAAAGGAGTCTTTTTGTCCCATTTATTGTAATGTCTTTTATTAAACCATAGTCTTTTTGCTTCCATTGGAAGGTGTACCAGGTATAAAAATTATGAGCCGAAAGGAAAGACTAGTGAATCTGAGACAAACGTTGTTCTCTCAACGATTATCAATGAATTCAAATACACAGGGCATCGTTGGTGCTAAGAGAATAAGAAAATACAATACAAAGAAAGATGAAACTTCATTAAACTCTTGTTTGGAAAGAGGGGGTGTGGGAGACTATTTGCTTCTCATAAAAAAATTTAATTATCTGGTTTAAAAAATGTAAATCAAAACATGAGTACTTACTAACAAAAGAATGTCAAAGCTTAGACAAAAACTTGAATTTCTGAACTTATCCCTGAAACAATTGGCTTTTCAACCATAGTCAACTTATCACTTTTTAAATGGACTTTCAAATCCAAAGAAAAAAGACTCCAGAACATTCAAAAGGTGCATCCATAAAGAAAAAGCTTGTGAGATCAAAATCATGAAAAAAACTATATCTGTGGAAATTTTGCACAATAAAGTATGGCACATAAGTCCATTGTGATAAGTATTTTCAAAGAATACATTGTGACATTTACTTGATATAAAAAAATTTTTAAAAGATTATTCTTCATTTGATTGTGTAAATCAGATTAAAATGACAGATGAAATGAGTGATCAAGGAGAATAATTTCATTAAAAGCTATGAACAGCAATCTAAACCACAAACTTTGCTAGCAAGACTGCTCTATGCTTATGTCTTAATTCTTAAAATGTATTACTATGGATGCAGTCCCCCCCCCCCCTCCGAAAAATAACATCATTAAAATCCTTTAAAACTCATAGGTTGTTATGACAAACAGGTGCTCTTAAAGAACAACACCCATACTTCCGAGAATTGTCAATTTGATTTCGGAATTTTACTCTTAAAATCTACAAGACAGAAAGATATATATTAAAAGAAGACCAATGGCCATCAGTAAGCTAAACTTGCAAGAAATTTTCTTGATAATTATACGTAGAAACTTGATCAATATCATGAGAATCTCCCATTTTTCTGTTACCTTTGTGCCCAGCTATGCTGCAATGAGCAGCTGCATGGTTCTACAGCAGTGCTTGCCAACCTGGGCAATATCACCCACTAGTAAATGATACTGTAATTTTGTTGGGTGGTGACAGGTATTATTTAATGCCCTGCTTGGAATTACATGTAACCTCTTAAAGGTAGAAAACGTGGGCGCTGGCTTTTAAAAAATATTGACAAACACTGCTCTACAGTCTACGACATTTCTACAGCACATTCGAAACTCAAGCCTGGTGTAGCAAAATTCAACATGACATTTAATTCGCCAAAAAGAAAAAAGCCTATCAATAATGATGGTACCATTCTGTAACCCCTCACCCCACCACCACCCCTCTTTTTTATCAAAGAAAATAGTAATGTGAAGAATGTCTGAAAAAAAAATAGTTGCAAGAAATAACATTTGGAAAAGAAAAAAAAAAATAGAATCTGCAGGTGGTGTCCTCCAATACTCATAGCATAACAATCATTAACAAACCTGCAGCAAACCTGCACTTATCACTACATGGCATTGGACAGAAGGGCAAGAGCCCAGCTGTTGCTGGATTGATAACAACAACAACCAAACTGGGTCACAAATAACTTTAGCAGCATGCCCTAAGCATCAAACAAACACATCAACAGGAATTATTTTTTTCAAAACGTAGTTTTAGAAGACGAAAACGTCCAGCATAAAAGCTCAGGGCCACAAGTTTACAAGACAAAGGAGGATCAGTCTCATTGGGTATATTTTGTGTGCTCGGGTGTCTGATGGTGATTACAACGGTGTATGGTGTGTTAGGGGAGGAAAGCATTGACAGGAGTTCACACACAATTTATTTATTTAGTTTTAGTTCGAGCTTGGCGGCACTTGCAACACAAACAGTTAGGTCATAGAAGTGCCTAAGATTAGAAATGTTACTAGAGAGCAACGTACAAAAAAAGAGGGAAGAGGATGATAGATTTTTTATAGGAAAGAAGGAGCAAACCAAACCACAGCAGCATCCCCCCTCCTCAACCACACTCGTTTACACATAGACAAGTAGACACTTGTCAAACAAGAGAAATAAAGGTAGAACTTTCCAAAAAAACATCAGCACAAGCAATACACAAAAAGTGGATGCATATAGGAAAACACAGTGGATGTGTAAAAGGACTTTTAACCACTCAATTTCCTGATTATTTTTCTTTTCAACACTAGTACATATATTTCAATTTCTTAGGCCACATTTGTCCTATGTTTGAACTGCTTTTACAGTCCTGATTCAAATGAATTATGCTACTATTTTTAAAAAACAACAACAAAAAACTAAAAAGGAAATGAAGAGTAAAAAATACAAAATTATCGAAACACAATACCATAAGGAAAGGGGGATATACAAACACAAAAAAACCACATGGAACAATAACATGAAATACACGTATACCTTATGAAAACCAATAAATACATTTCAAAATTCAAGTTAAATTGAACAAAGAAAAAGAAAAGCATAGAGCCCATTAACAACAACGAAAAATCCATTAAGACACATCTTGTCTCTTGATCATGACAGAGAATGGGAAAGCTTTGAGGAAAACAGCAAAAACAACAAGCACTTTTTGACCATATGTATGAAGTGTTAGACATGGTACATAAAGCTATGAGTATGTGAGTGTATACATGTATGTATGTGTGGTGAGTGAATGTGAGAGTTTTTTTTATAGTTTTAGTAAAGGTTTTACGGTGCTCGCAACTGCATACGGTCATATGAGCGCCAGAAGATTTGATGTGTTACAAGAGAGTAACAAACATAAAAAAAGAAGAAGGGGAGATAAGGACGATAGATGTTTCATAGGAAAGAAGAAGCAAACCACACCAGAGCACCCGCCAACCACCCACGAATGTGAGAGAGTGTGAGTTTTAATTTTAGTAAGAGTTTCACAGCACTTGCAACACAGACAGGTCATATAAGTGCCGAAGATTAGAGATGTTACCAGAGAATAACATACAAAGAACAGAGGGAAAAGATAGGGATGACTGATGCTTGATAGGAAAGAAGGGGCAAACCACTCCAGAGCACCTGCCAACCATCGTCATGTGTGTGTGTGTGTGAGTGTATGTGAGAGAGAGAGATAGAGGCAGACAGACAACTGACAGAAAGACGGTCAGAAACATGGAATGACAGACATAGACTAGACAAGACAGACAGACAGACAAGACAGACAGACAGACAAGACAGACAGACAGACAGACAGACAGACAGACAGACAGACAGACAGACAGACAGACAGCAGACAGACAGACAGTGAGAAAATGTAAAGCATAACTACATGCATAAGTAAGTCAAAACATGTGCACATTATGTATACAAATCATCAAATTTGGACAATTATGGAAAAATAAACCATCCAGTGCATGACTAGATGCATGTACTGACAACTAAATTTGAATTTCAACCCAAATAGTACAAAAATAGAAATAAGACAGCTCAGTCCTCGAACCACAATAGAGAATACTTGGGAATACAAAGCGGTTATATTCATGCATGAAACACAGTAGCAATCTCCTTAACTTATAGCTTAGATCTACCACCCCCCACCCTCACCTAACATAAACCAGAACTGACAACTTAGTACCAACAAAAATCCTGAATTTTTCAGCCCTGCGGAAACGCACGCTCAGCAACTCAAAATTAACGGATCGTATCATCTAATGCATTTTGTCTCAAGGCTATTTTTAAATATAGTGCAGTATGACATGCACGAAGAGATAAACATATAAATAAATGTGTAAGCAGGAACATACAACAGACATAAAAGCAATTGCACACACTTATCTGGAAAATCAGCACCTCTGATAAAAAGAACAGGCAATACTGACAAAACATAACTATGCTCTCTCTCTAACAACTTCACAGCACAAGAAAGAGGTGTTTACCTTTTCAAAAACTTAATTTTGCTTGTTAATAAAAACAATTAGTACTAAGAAACAGTCTTTGAGTTATGCTTAGTACTTAGTTTACAATTATTTTTTTTTACCCAAAAGGATCAGGTACCATATCAGAAAAAAAAGCAGAAAAATTCCCCCAAAACTCAAACATAGCTGTGGTTGATAGGCAAGAAGAAAGCATTAAAAAAACAAAACACTTTTAGTATGAGATTTATGCCACTTGCATCCCAATTAGGTCATATAAGTCCCGAAGATTAGATGTGTTACTATAGAGAGTAACATACAAGGCAAGGAAGGAGAAAAGATAAGGATGATAGATGTTACATAGAAAAGAAGGAGAAAAATCACACCAAAGCACCCACCAACCACCCACTAGAAAGCATTTGTTTTGCAGCAACAACGAAACCAAGAAAAAGATCCACAGCAAATGCTAAATCCCACAAAAACAAGAGAAGGGGGGGGGACCATTACCAACTGAAAAGAAAACAATGGTCCAAATAAAAACATAAGATCAAACAGAACAAAATAAAGTTCAGCATTCCAAAAACAACAAAAAATCAAAATAAAAACACAGCACGATTTACAAAACAAACCACAAAAAAAAAAAAAAAAAAAAAAAGTAGCACCTATTAATGGCTCAAATCACCAGCACACAAACACACTTAAAAAAACAAACCAAAAAAAAAAAAAAAAAAAAAAAAAGTGAACCAAGCATGAGTGAGGTTTGCAGCATCTACATAATATTAGGATGTAAAAAGTAGTGGAAGAGGCAACCTTTTGGAGGCGTCCAAGCTGACTAGGTTGGAATAGGACGAGTTCCGGCGCAGGAAGGCGGAGCGCCCACTCACATGTCTGGACCATTGCAAGGAGGAAAAGTCAGCACCAGTTCAAATATTACATACTACACCTCTCACCTTTTTTCCTCCAATTCCAGACAAAAAAAATAAAAAGACATAAACAAACAAAAAAACTGCCAATATTCACTGCCCCTCTGCATTCTCTCTCTCTCTCTCAGACTTCTTGAGCACTAAAAACCCGTCCTGCCCGTCCTTTATCTGAAAACAAAATCCCTACTTTCAGTCAAAAGAAATTTTGCCCCCTGTATATACTGTGATTCAAACCTTTTTCCTCCACTTCCAGACCCCCCAAAATATTTTTTAAAAACAACCTTGTAATTTTCACAGCCCTTCTACATTCACTCTCACAAGACTTTTTCTACTCTCTCTCTTTAAAACTTCTAGAGCACTTTAAATTGTCCTTTCACTGCAAACAAAATTCGCATTCTCTAACCAAAAAATAAAATTGCCTCCATTACATACATATTCAGTCTCAAGTCAGGCTATATTTAAGTAAAATAACCCCCCCCCCCCCCCTTTATATGTTTTATTGAAAAGTACTTTTGTTTCCCTGCTGTTTCCAGGGTAGAATTCAATCTCTGTCAAGAGAAGGTATCTTGGATATCATATGTTTTGTCAGGATTACTTTATCTCTGTAACCATCACTTGCTCTAAAGCCATCATTTTTGAGAAAAATGTTGCAAAATCTGAAAGTTTAAGCCACGGCCTTCTAATAGTCTACCAGTATTGTAGGCATAATTCACGTTGCAAATGAGAATGAAACGGAGTAATAAAGCTTCAGTACTTTCTAAAAATATCAATAGCTGGAATGAAAGGAAGTTTGCTGGTGATTTTAATTTCTGAAGGAACAAAAGTTAAGTTTGCTCAGCAAATAGAATAATAACAGTGTATCACACTAACTTACTCTAGTGGTATGAGGCATGCTTTGTAAGCCGTTTGCTTGCAGTGATGAAAAAAAAGCAACCAACGGTTGCAAGCTCCCACTTGTAATTCCAGTCTCAAACATCATCATAAACACAATTAACAAAAAAGCACTATATAGCAACAACAAAAATACAGTACAAAAAATGTGATAGCAAAAAAATTTTTTAAAATAAAAACGAATGTGTCAATTCATAACTATGGGATTAAAAAACTATCCTGCTTTAGAAAATAAATGAATACGACTGTAACAATCCGAGAATACAGTACATCTCTCGAGGACATGCAAGATTAAAATGTTACAAATTCCTAGTCCCATATTGAGTAACGCTGGATAAAAGCAAATCTCAGAGTCTCAGGGTACAACTAAGGGGTACAGTAACATCTAAGGCAATATGAGGTTTGGAGGGGAGGGATAACAGCATCAGAGCTTGTTGGAGCTCAATGTTGAAGGGTGAATTCAACAATAGGCAATCCCTGGGATACAAATGTGTTGCATTAACAACTCACAATATGCTAACCATACGGTTCAAACATATCGTAATATCTATGATCCATTTTAGATAACAAGCGTTTTTGGTATGACAGGCTTCCGACCATATAATTCATTAAGTGGTATCTCCACCTAAGAACACTGTCAAAGGGAGACCAAAAAAAAGGCGGACAGTTCTCAACAGAAGATTTCAAGGGGCACAACTTAACTCCTAGTCCTAGTGCTTGGTGTACTGATCATCTCACTTGTTCATTGAACATTCTATGATGAAATACGAACCAAAGAAGATACTGACACCCAAAGGAAGATAAAGATGGGTTTGCTTTTTTTGTTTATATAAAAATAACCTGGGTGTATGCATGTCTATAAGTGCAGAGTTTTGTTTATGGTGCAAGCGAAAGGAAGTGGATTCAGGTTCTAGGATGAATTTCCACGACACTGCATTATTACGGTGATTTGATAGTGTGTTGAAAATACCCAACAGAACTAGTTGCAACGTTGCATTATAGAAGCAAAGGGATGACCAATTAAGCAGCCAGCTTCGAACGTTTTGACAACATGAGAGAAACAAAAGACTGAACCAATTGGAAACCACCGAGCCAATCACCTGTTCAATGGTGCCCAATTGTGTGTCTACAACATTACAGTGTAAGACGTCGTTATCATGTTCACATCACACTCACTCCCTTCTCCCTTACCCTCTGTCTGACTGTTTCTTTTTCATTAAAAAAGACCACATAGTATCAGTTACGGCAAAGTGAGAAATCTAAACGCTTAAACTTTAATAAGTTTATTTCATTAGACACACAACTGATTTCTTCGGGTAGATTTTAATTCCTAAAACAAGTTCTATGGCTTGTAAATCATAAAGAAAAAACTCCCTAGCACATAAGAACAGGCTCTTAGGGAGTCCTGGTTCTTATACGGAGTGTTCCTAAGCAGAGACAACAGTTCTTTGTGTGCATTTATGAAGGCATTTGTAGCCCAAGGAATGCCTGGAATACTTAGTTTCAATAAACTTGTAACTGTATTAAGAAGCGAGTTTTATTTCAATAGATATTTGATATACTCTAATCAATGGAATGCATTGAGAACAATTCATCCTGTAGCCAAATACAAAGTGAGAAAGGAAATAAAAGACAATCAATTTATTAAAGAACTAAAATTTCAAGTGCTTTTAACGTCTTGGCTTCAATTGTGCAAAACTACAATGAGGGAAAACTCAAAAGATATATAGAAACTAATCAGCTTGGAAGCAAAAAGCAATGTCGACATCATATACATGAAAGGGGGGATTATATACATATAGTATCCCTCTGATCAGCACTGCTATAATTTCAATCTGGCCATTGCCAGAATATCTCAAATATTATATCTATCAAATAACTTGTCTGCTCAAGAGAAAGTTGCAACAGTCAAAAAAAAAATTGCAGCACTAATGTCTCCCCCTCCAGGACATCTCAAAGACATCTATCAAATTATCTGTCTATATAAGAGAAATTTGCAAGACAGCAGTGACTCTCAAATAATATATATATATCAAATTATCTGTCTACATGAGAGAAAGTTGCGACAGACAACTCAAATACATTTATCAAATAACCTGTCTACACTAGAGCGAGTTGCAACACAGCAGTGTCTCTCAAATGCATCCATCAAAGAATCAATCTACATTATAAGAGAAATTTGCTCTCCACCCCTCCGCGGGCCGTCCCCTGAACTGACCTGTGTTTGAGCAGCAGAGTCTGCAGCAGCTTGCCCTTGACACTCTCCTCCACCAGGTCGCGGATGACCAGGTTCTCTACCACGTTGTGGATGATGCTGTTTAGGTCCGTGGCCTCCAGGTCAAGTAGCAGTGAACCTACAACAAATATTAGTTTAGTTTTAGTAGAGGTTTTACAGTGCTCGCAACTGCATAAGGTCATATGAGCGCCAGAAGATTAGAAGTGTTACAAGAGAGTAACGAACATAAAAAAGAAGAAGGGGAGATAAGGACGATAGATGTTTGATAAGAAAGAAGAAGCAAACCACACCAGAGCACCCGTCAACCACCCACAACAAATATTAGAGTGATAAGAGATAAACAAATACAAAAAAGAAGCAGGGTAATAGAGAAAGAAAGTAAATAGTGACAGAACAAGCAAACCGCACCAGAGCACCCATCAACTGCCCATACACAGAGGTGAAAATGGGAGAAAAAAAATCTTGGCAAAGCACAATTTAAATTCTATGAACTTTTGTGTCTTGTAGCTAAGTGAGCTAGCTAGGGTAATTTCACAGGCTGAAGGGCGAGAACTCAGATGGCTACTTGTTCCGAAAAGTAGGATAATGTTACAGGTTGAACAGTAGTGATTGCAGCTCTTCCCATATCTATCCAGAGCACTCACCATTTTCTAAACCTCTCCTGAGTTCCAGCAGAGAATGAAAGGAGAGCGAGGCCACGTGCGGCTTGCCCCAGCGCTCCGCTCCCTCCTCCACATCCTCCTCAAACTTGATCCAGCGGGCCTTCTCCCGCCACTCCCACATGTCGTCCCCGCCAAAGTGAAGCTCGTCCAGCTCTACAAACATCTGCAACACAAAACAGGTTTTTTTGGGTTGTTGTTTTTTTTTTGGGGGGGTGTCAATTCGTTGAAAACGAACACTGAGAATATAAGACATACATAACACATATACACATTTATTAGAGAGACAATCACACACACTGCAGACATATTAATATCTTATGTAATGTAATACAGGAGTTCACATTTACTTTGCACAACTTTTTTTCAAGTAGCTTTTGACTTTCACCCTCATTAAAAAGTCTTTCTGACACACTGGTTCAGTAAACGACATGGCGCATACCTCGTGAGGGCTGTGGTCGTATTTCTTGGTCACCCTCGGCTTCTTCTCATGGTGCGACTTGCCCATGTGGACTATCGTGCCTTTACTCCTGGTGATTTTGTGCCGGCGAATACCGCGCTGGTCTTCAAACCTGTGACCTGGAAGACAACAAGTTTTAGTTTTAGTAGAGGTTTTACGGCACTTGCAACTGCATAAGGTCATATGAGCGCCAGAAGATTAGAGGTGTTACTAGAAAATAACAAACATAAAAAAGAAGATGGAGAGATAAGGATGATAGATATTTCATAGGAAAGAAGAAGCAAACCACACCAGAGCACCCGCCAACCACCCATGAAGACAACAAATTTTCGAAAAATCTTACTCTGTTCTTTAGCATAGAACATTAATTTTTTCAAGAAGTAAGACCTTTAAAGCGATATCTATCTCAAAAGTAGAAAGTGAGGAATCAAAGAACTCTCAAAACAACCATTTACCTGGATTTCATCATTTGATTTTTAATTTAACTCATGAGAGTACCTGGAAACAAAACAAGCTGGCGTTACTTTTTCTAAGTCTCAAGCTCAAAATAACACAATGTGGGGGGAAAAAAAGTCAGAACCTATGTACCACTACCCATTTTTTATGTGACATGGTTGAGAAATTATAATTTGGATTCAGAAACAAGTACTCGTATCAATAACAAGAACAACAGGATCTATAAGGAGAAAGACAGCCCAAACCAAGATTCAAACCTACTCTACCCACCTTATGGTCATCATTTTGACAAACAAAAAAGATTAGACCAGACAAGACGAGACAAGGCAAGACAACAAAAGATTTTTATTGATCTCCACAAACAGAATTTTGCTGCACCATGGTGAATACATACATGCACATGCACTTGTCAGTCAACACATACACACACACTGTCTCTCTCTCCCTCCCTCCCTCTCTCTTTCTCTCAATCTCTCTCTCTCTCTCTATCTCTCACACAAATATGCACGCACACATACACTCGCAGGCACACACACATTTACATACACAGACCCACACACACAAATAGTCATTGAACAATCACTCACTGGTCATGTCATCCAGGTCGGCTTTATTCAAGATGGACGCTTCTTCCGTCTCAGTGGGAGACTTTTGATACTTCTCATTGAGCTGCACCTCACTGCCTTTCTGTCTGCGCATGACCAAGTCAGACTGCGCGAAGTGTTCATGGTGGTGGTGGTGCCGGCGCTTAATGGAAGAGCGAGTCGATTGACTGCCTTCCTCACTGCACACATGACAAAAACAAATGTGAGGCATCGTGATGAAATCAAGCGCTAATCAAAATTTTTGACTCAACACCTTTAAGGTCCATTCATAAAAAGATTTCTGTGTGGATTCCATTTCATTAAAAAATGTTGATTTAAGGCACAACAATGTAAATTTGCAGTTTCTAAGGACTCTCAAGCTATGGAAGTCACCAAACTTTGGAGGCCATTTTCTCGCTAATTTTACCTCTTAAAACAGGCAAGCCCAAACTCCTTCAATCACAAATATTTCGACTTTTATTCATGACAGATGAGTATTTTTTTTCACCAAAAGCAAGAAAATTGAACAAGCAGTAAGGAGATACCAATAACTCCACATGTCCATAAATTGACGAGTGCCTGATTCCACTGCATCATGCCACAAATATTACAGAGTAATTGTTTCGTCAGAGCACAAAACCGTGCTGTAATCATCTTGTGATTTGCACTTAGGAGTTGTGACCACTCGTTAATCATGATGTGATGCTTTAGAGCAAAGAAGAAGACATTATGGACAATAAACTTTCATGTCCTCATCAGCACAATAGAGATCATTTACAACACAGGCTTCAACCCTGCCTTTCAGCGAACAATTTAAGCGGCGTACAACAGCCTACAATAGGCAACTGTTTTCGCATATATGCCAAAAAGTGTCAAAAGGACTTTCAACTAATTTTATCATGAAACAATTTATATAGTTCAGGGATATTGTGATACTCATGCCATGAGACGGACGATTTAGGGGCCTGGTGATCATATCATGAGTTGATAAGCTGAGGTGTTTTTTGTTTATTATATTGTATATACCTAAGACAACCACTTTTCTCCTTGAAAATAGGTGGTCGCCTTGGATAATTTTGACAGTATAACAAAAAGCAAAGCATCCGCCTGAAAAATTTTTCATCCTGCACAAAACCCAGCAGTCCAGTAACATGTGATCACACAAACCCTCACCTTGGCACTCGGAGAAGTTGATGCTGATCACTTGCATCCGAACTCTCAGAGTCACTGCTGCCTCGCCGACGACCAGACCCTCTTCGTGACTTTCGCCGTTGACCCCCTTCCACCTCATTTTCATCCACTGCCTTCCAATTGCTCTCTTTTTCCTCACTCTTTCCTACAAAGCTTCCCTGTCGATCTTCTATGGCCTGAGATATTCCATCGGAGAGCTGAGTCTGGAAGTTGTGGTAGCTTGGGTCATCCCCTGCGAGACAAGACAATTCCACAACAGAATTAGGTTTGTTTGTTTTTGTCAGTTTTGTTTTAGTAAGAGTATTATGGCACTTGCAACACAATTAAGCCATATAAGAGCCAAAGATTAGAGATGTTACAAGAGAATAAGAACAACAACAACAAAAAAGAAAGAGGAGAGACGAGGATGGGTTGTTGGTTTTTTTTGTGGTTTCTTTTAATAAGCGTTTTACAGCACTTGCAACATAATGAGGTCATATAAGTGCTAAAGATTAGAGGTATTACAAGAGAGTAACAAACACATAAAAGGAGGGTAGATAAGGATGATAGATGTTTGATAGGAAAAAAGGAGCAAACCACACCAGAGCACCCGCCAACTATCCACTTCGTTTTTGTCTGTTTGAATCAAGATTGAGTAAAGAGAAGCATGGTCATATAGGTCGGGCAAGAAAGAAGACAGATAGACAGAAACAAGAGGGAAAGAAAGAAGCAGGACCTACTAGTGGCGCCTCCAACCACCTGCATGAGCAAAGTGGAGGATATTAATGCAATAACAGTTATTTAGTGCTAGTGTAAGTGTGTGACCTTTTAGTTTAGTTTTAGTAGAGGTTTTACAGCGCTCGTAACTGCATAAAGTCATATGAGTGCCAAGTGTGGCGAGGGCACGCGTGCTTGTACTTGAGAGATAAAAAGAGATAGATACAGCCTGAGACAGAGACAGACAGAATTATGCCCAAAAAACCCTGCCTGCACTCACCAACAACAAAAGTGACCTTTCCTGCAGTGCTGTGTTTCCTGGACGGGGGATGGGAGGGCATGGGAGACACGTTGGTACTGCCGTCAAACTCTGGACCCGTTACCTGGACAAACAAAAAAGGCAAACATTTCCTGTTGAACTGTCTACATTGTGATATATAAAGAAGAAAGTTCATCAGACAAAAAAAGGTAGCAACATATTTCTGAACCCATCACAATTAATAATCAAGCACCAATAATGCCAGGTTCAGTAACAACAACAAAAAATGTTGCTGAAGAGACATAGGCCCCTATTACATTTTCAATCGGAACACAATGCACTGGTTATGTACTGCAACTTGTATTTGTAAAGACACATTTTTTTTATCAGGGTTGAGCACTATATATAAATGTCATACATTACTATTACACAGAGAGAACAAATGAGATCAGATCCCATTACTGTCTTACCCGCAGATAGTCGGGTCTGTGAGATGGGATGGGTTCTTCATCCGAAATCCCCAAGACAGCAGCTGGGGTTGTTTCCCCTTCACCAAACGCAGGGCTCCGCAACTGGTCTGTGTGGTCTACGTCTGGTGAAGGAGTGTCTCGTGGAGAGATTTGGAATGTTCTGGAAAACTGGTCTACAGAGGGTTCCCGGGATGGAGACGGGAAGTCGTTGCCGATGTAAAAGCCCACCTGAAAAAAAAACAAGACACAAAAAACTTTTAGAAGTTTTTCCCCAAAATACAAAATGGAGTCAACTGCATTCCACATTGTACCTGCTCAGGTTGCCGTAAGGTATTTCAATTTTTTTTTTTTTAAAGTTTTCCCTCACAAGGTTCTCTGGACTTGGCCATTTATGACCCTAGACCGCGAAGAGAGAAAAATTAATATGCATATCATCAAATGAAAAGGGTGAAAAGAAAGAGCAATTGTATCATGGTCTTCAAGACTAACTATATCGCAAACCAAAGTTTTAACTCACATCAAATTGTAGAACATAAACATCATACAAATAGTCTAAATGTGTTGAACATTCAGATTTTCTTTTAAATTAAAAAAATGTAGGGGGGAAAAAGTCCCAGATAAAAAATCCTTACCGTTTCATTCCCCAGAACGCTGGGTCGTCTTGGCTGCTCCTCTGCTTCTAGAGAGGAGCCATCGTTAGTTGTTGTCCCCGCACCGTCAAAGGGACGTGCTGTAGAAGCTTTGTGCTCAGGGGACGGTGTGGCTGGAATCAGCTGCATGCCTGGTAAGGCTGAGTGCGAGTTGGTCATTTCATCTGGAAACACCACACCCAGGAAATATCCAGTTGAAAGTTTATATCACTTTTAGTTTTAGGGAATTTTAAAAAATATTTTTTAAAATTATTTTGGGGGGGGGGGGGGTGTGGGGGGGGTTGTTCCCACAGATATTGTTTTGTACTTTGATTTATGCAACGCATCTAGAACTGGGTGTACACAGGAGCAGGTTGTTAATACTATTCTTAATTCAGTAAAAGTTTAATTGCATTTGAAACACAAATTTTGTAGGTCAAAATTAGCGGTGTTACTAGAGAGTAATATACAACGAAAAGAAAAGGAGGTGAGATAAAGACAACAGATTTTTATAGTATAGGAAAGCAGAAGCATACCACACCAGAGCACCTGGCAACCACCCACTTTAGTTTGTCTGAATGATGAGAGACACATTTTACAAGCAGCAGAATACAACAATAACAACAAAGATAAGAAAGGTAAGGAGAAGACCAAATCTGTGCCCCCATCAACAAAACCTCAAAAGTAACAGCTGACACTGTACAACTGCTCAGTTTCTTAAATGTGTCAAAGTTGACTTTATTTCACCCACCATGGTCAATATTTAATCCAACATCAACTGAATCCTTTTTCTCTAGCTACAAAAACAATATTCAGTTTCAATGAATCATCCCAACCTGGTATGAATCTCAGAACCACACATTCATTAGGGAAAAAATGTAAAAGGCAACTTCATCCTAAATGGATAGGGAACAAACCCACTACAATGTAACAGGGGGAAAAATTATGATGTCCCCTACTAACAGTTTGCTTACCGTCTTTTGATTTCAGCAAGGCAGTTGTTTCATCAATCTTCAAGTCCTGACTTTCTTCCGCCTCTGCATCATCATCGTCATCATCATCTTCACTTTCGGAACTGCTGGAATAGTTCTGTTCAGAGGAGACGAGAAATGTAAGTCCACAACGCCTGGGCCTAGCTTTATATAGTAAGAGTTCTACAGTACTTGTAACACAATTAGTTCACATAAGAACTGAAGATTACAGGCGTCACTAAATAGTAATTTTCTGAGAAAAGAAGGAGCACAGATAAAGATGCTATATGTTTGGTATAAAAGAAGGAGCCCACCACACCAGAAAACCCTTCAACCACCCACTGCTTGGGCTTATTTTGATCTAAAAAAAAGAGGGTGTACAAAGAAAAGATAGTTTGACAATAGGCTAGCTACATACTGTAAACAAACAGAAAGGAAACTGACACACGGATTGAATGCAGTTAACCATTTTTACAGCACAATTCTTTCTAACATGTCTACCTGCTGCACACGCGATCATTTTCACTTAGAGAACGTACTACAACAGCAGCCACAGACTGACATACTAAAGGCTGCTTTGACAAAGGACAAAAATATGTTAAAAAACAGACAAACAAAAAGACAGACAAAACAACAAACAATCACCTCCTGGTCCTCATGATGGCCCTCCTCCTCTTCCTCCGGGATGGGCGGGCTCTGGATGGCATTGCGCGAGGGAAAGCTCCGAAGCTTCTCCTTTTTCTTCTTCTTTTTATGCTTCTTCTTGGCCTTGTGGGCTTTGGCTGCCTTGGTCAGAGACTTGCTGGACAGTGAGCGCAGCGGCTGGTGGATGTGAGGGTAAGAGACACGCCGATGTCCTGGGGGAGGTCACACCAAGTTTATCATAATAAATAGAATATAATAGAAATAATAATAATGACGATGACGATAACAATAATGATAACAATAATAATAATGATAATAATATAATAGTAATAGTAATGATAATAATATTAATAATCATCATCATCATCAAAATAATAACAACAACAACAATGATGATGATGATGATAATAATAATAACAATAATGTTGATAACGATGATAATAATAACAATAATAATAATAATAATAATAATAACAATGACAATTATGTAGATGATGATAATAGTAATAATAATAATAATAACAACAACAACAACAACAACAACAACAACAACAACAACAACAACAACAACAACAACAACAACAACAACAACGCTGATGATAACAACAACAACAACAATAATCATAATAGCAACAATAACGACAATAATAAAATATGACATTCATATAATGCTCAACACCGATTAGGAACACAGGCTCTGAGGGCTTTACAAATTCAACAGCAGCACATAATCAGTACAAAGTGTTGTGACTAAAAATTAATACCTACCTCGTTTATCTAAAATCAGAAACGACTTTAGCCGTCATTTGAATGAATAAAAAGATATAACTACTGGGCAAAGCGTTTTAGATCCTGACAAATTTCAGTGCAATATGTATACACTTTAAAGGTAAAAGGATGTTGGAATCTTATAAATGTAAGAAGAAATACTAGAAAAGGTTAAAGCTATTTTATTTATGGGAAACAATATTTCCTTCGCTTTACAAAGAAAATGTTGGGGGTTTTTTAAAGTGTAAAACGTCAGCACAGAATGGAAATACTGTTTAAAACTGTAAAATCATTTTTATTGAACACACCAAAAGTATCACTTTTAACCTTCCTTGAATGTAATCCCTCATTAATCCCTCTTTGTTTCTCCAAATAAAAGTTCGTATATCCTACAAGGTTCCAGAAAGGCTGTATTCCCTATTCAGTAAACAAGTTAAAACTAAAGAAACACATACTGGAATATTCTGCTTCGTCCACTTGATAGAATTCGGACAGGGCCAGTTTGCTGGACTCACGGCCCATTGAGGTAGCAGTGGGGGCATGACAGTTTGGATCTGTGGTCAGGGAGCTGGCCTCACATGGCCAGTTGCGGTCAAAGATTTTGTCCACCTGGAAAAGTTTGAAAGTTTTGGTTTTGGCCAAAGTTTTACGGCACATGCAACACAAAAATGTTGCAATATAAGTGCCCAAGATTAGATGTGTTAACTAGAGAGTAACATACAAAGAATATAAGGCACACATACAAACAATCACAGCACAAAGAGACAGAGATAGAGATAGAGAGAAAGAGAGAGTGAGAGACTGACAGAGAGACAGAGAGAGAAGAGCGAGGGACAAAGAGAGGAAGAGGAAAGAGGAGGAAAAACAAAAAAGGACACAGACAGAGAACTGGAGAGAGAGTAAGAGAGAGAAGAGACAGGGAAAAGGAAAGAGAAAAAAAAAAAAGAGAGAGAGACAGCAGAGAGAGGTAAGAGAGCAAACGACAGAATAACGAGTAAACGGGGAGCGAAAAACAAAGAAAAAAAAAAGAAGAAAAACAAAGAAAGAGACAGAGAGAGCAAAGAGGAAGGACAAAATAGAGAAATTTTTTTTAAAGAAGTCAAGACAATAACAAGAGTGGTGAGGTGGTGGGACAGAGGAGAGGAAATAAGAATTTGGGAGGAGGGGGGAGGGGAGGGGAGTGTAGGAGATGACAGTAGTTACCTCATCGAGAAAAGAGAGCCGCGTGACGTTGGGGTCGGCCAGATCGGCCAGGGAGTCCCGGGACAGCACGGGCTCTGTGTTAATGGCGCGTATCCCCTGGCTGCTGGTGAAGCCCTCCACCACGGGCTCTTCCATTCCCGCGCAGGATGCGCTCAGGGACGTGGAGCTCAGCCCACCCGGCGCGGTGGACATCTCATCCTGGTCCGAGGTCAGCGGGATGTGCTCCTCACCTCTCTGTGAACGGGAGAGAGAGAGAGAAAAGAAAAAAATGAGGGAAGATGGACAAGAACGACTGATGGAATGACCCTGTCTTTGTTCATTTGAGCAAAGAGAAGCACACCAACACAATCTTATCCTAGTCAGAGCTCACCAAGATGTGCTCCTCACCTTTCTGAGAAAAAAGAGGGAAAAGAAAGTATGATCTTGCCTCTGTTTATTTGTTTAAGTAAAGAGAAGCATATAAACACAATGTCACCCTGGTTCTCACCATTCTAATAAGGAACAGGGAGAAGAAAAAAATTGTTTTCTCTGAAAGTTCACAAAGAACACACTTTTAAAATGGTATCACTCTAGTTCAGTCTTCTTCTTCTTTTTTTTCTTCAGTAATTGGGTATTGCTTCTGAGACTTTCCTGAAATAAATGCTCAATCTCTTGGCATTCTGCCTGCCTGAACTGCAGAAATGTTTTAATTCCAAGCCAAGTTTCTATGCCCTGTTCCCATATTCTGCTAGGTCACCGCTTCTCCTCCTGTATTCAACCTTTTACTCCAAGAATATGTTTGATAAGCGCAAACTAGTTCGGTTTCAGTTTCATTACGTTCTTAAGACTTTCATTGCCTATTCTTCAGGAGAGGAAGATCATTCATCTAAAATTTGAGTTGTGGCCAGCAATGAACACCATGCCATAACAATGATTATTATTGCAACTGGGAGTACACACCTGTGATGACCATGCCATAAACAACAATAATTATTGTGACAGGGAGTACATACATTGACCACACCATATATAACAATGATTATTGTGACAGGGACTACGTACCCGTGAGGATCTATCCCGACCATGATGGGCGGCCATCTTGTGCTCAGTTATCTCTCTCACTCAACCTGAAAGTACAACAAGGAAGGGAAACATGGATGAGCTCAGACATAATATGGGGAAAGGACAGAAGGAAGAAAGTGTGGATGGAAGGAGGAAAGAAGGCAGACCAAGGGAAAAAACAAAGTGAAGAAAACAAAACGAAGAAAAAAAACCCAAAAAGGAGGACTGAAGACATATGGCAAATAAGCATAAACATTTTTTTTTTAAATACTGGGGGGGGGGGGGGCATAACTGAAAAGGATATTTTATAACACTTTCAACACTTGCAGGCGATCATTTTCCGAGCCGGTGTCACACTTGATAACAGGACACTTGAAACTTTCAGTGTGTTCATGAAGGAGATAAAACACCCTCTCAGATGTAAATAGGTCATATCGTGGGTGGACACTACCTCAAGAAGTCTACTCAATAGCATGCCCGGACCAGAAAGGTGAGACTTGACCCACTGCTACCACAGTCTGAAGAGGCTGTTATGCGTAAGTTTGAATAAGGATAAAAACAGGGGCATGATATCAGCCATTGGACGTAGAGGAAAAGCAAGATAACACCGACTGAGACAACAGAAAGAAAGAAAAGAAGTAGGGCTGACCGTGGCACTTTCCAATTAATTTAATATAGTAAGAGTTTTACGGCACTTGCAACACACTTAGGCCATATAAATGCTAAAAATTAGAAGTGTTACTAATGAGTAAAAAATATTTAAAAGGAGATTTTAGAATATTTTGATAGGAGAGAAGGAGCAAACCACACCAGAATACCTGTCAACTACCCACAGGTTTTACAATTACTAGCCCAAAGAAAGCAGGCATGATACACACAACAAACAACTTCGCCATTTACTCTGTTTTTTAAAAGGTATTTGACTGTTTGTTTGTTTGTTTAGTATAGGGTTTTACGGTGCTCGCAACTCCATAAGGTCATATGAGCGCATGGGACACACCTAATACTTTTCGTTGATAGGAAATTTTGAATTTTGCCCAGGTGGCGGCCGAAGCCTACTCTTATCGATTTTAGACCACCAAGGGATCTTTAATGTGCACAACTTGACTGAAAATATTTTTTACACATTATCTCGCAGTCTATACCTGGGTACCCATTTTCTCCGGGGGTGTTGAGAGGAAAATTTGTATAAAGTGCCTTTCCCAAAAAGGACACAATGTTCTTTTTCTTTGACATAATGAATTGAGTAAGAAATGAATTGTTGAATATCAGTCAGTGGCGCCCTTAAACATCTACTGGAGAGAGAGAGAGAGAGAGAGAGAGAGAG